GTGTAAGTGATTTGATCTGTAAATCAAAGTGATCACTTTTACCGTATCGATTGATTGATTGAATGATTGAATAAATCACTTATTTGTTTATGCATTTATTTATTCCCACATCCATCGGATCAGCGATGACATGAATAGCTGAACATGTTCTGAGCATGTCTCATCAATAGGTCGTCGCCTCCACTTTTATCAATAAATATCATTTTATCACCTAATTTCTATGATACCTTCTCACTGTTCTATAGCCAAACACGACATTTCTGGATCAGTGAAACCGTCAGTTTAGTTGTCCCGAATCTTTGCTCGATTCATGCCTATAATAGGTGCGATAATCATGGATCTCAGAAAGAGCTAATATCAGAAACGTACAATTCCTGTGCAGGTGTTCTGAGATATATCACACTGTATAGCTGAGATATATCATAGAATCGTGCAGTCAATAAACGAGAGTTTCTTTCCAATCTAGCATGATTGAAATACATACATGAATATAGCCGAATCATTTCAGCTGCTCTATTGGTGATGATTTTGTGCACGAGATATCGTGTAACTTCTCACAATTGCACTTCACAATCTTCGAGAAGAATGCGCGACCGATTCCACGACCGATCGGACGAGTGTCGATTCGGAAACGTGATATTGTGAAGCATTCGGGTGAGGATCGCTGGTATCGCATTGCGTCGTTCTCGAAACAAAACGATATCTGCGGACAGATCTGCTTGGATTTGCAGTACGATTGCGATACATCTAAAATTGCGCTCAAGTGAGTTGCTATCGTCAACAATACTCTCCTGTTTCAGTCATGCACTATAACTGGATAATGACGACATGAACTACGTGTCATTACAGCTGTTACTAGAGCTTGATCGAATTCAAGCTGTCTCCATTCGTAATATTGCGTGATAAAAAAGGCGTTATGCCTTTGCGCTACCACTAGTAATCAGTATGTTATCAGTAACTATCGCGTTCATCAAGTAGCGGTTAACCTCTGAAAAGCTCTCGTTTTAAAGACCTCGTTTTTAGTCATATGGTCTGCGTGTGATAGTTTCAAACATGAATCATTTGCTGTTTTGATTTTTTCGACATCATCAAGGATACGATCATTCTCATGAGCTGTTTCGTTCCACTAGTCAGTGTTACAGCGGCCTATGATTGTAGATTATAACCGATTCAGTCAAAAACTGAACACTTTCGACGGATACTAGCATTTATTCTCCGTCCAATGAATGATATTTGTGTTTTGTGCGATTTCGGAACTGATTCGTCGGTTTCTTAACGATAAGTGAAACAAAATCTCTTTTATTTGATCCATTTTTCCACAGCACTCACGGTGATGATAATTTGCCTATACGCTTGAAAGGGTGTCTGTTGATCTGATTGTGTTCAATCTTCAGTCCTCTCAGTTCAATCTGTTGTTGAAATTTTACCATTTTGCTCTATTCGATCGGAATGTTGTTATGTTTTTTCTCAAAATCAGTTCTTTGGAAAGATTTCCTGCACGGTTTTCAGATCCAATAAGTCGTAAACAACAGAAATTTTGATCAGATCAGAAGAGAACAAGGAGAAGGCGT